CACTGTATAGTTATCATCATGAAGACAGAATGACAGTGTTATCGCCATAAAGACCACTGTATAGTTATCATCATGAAGACCAAATGATAGTGTTATCGCCATAAAGACAACAGTATAATTATCACCAAAAAGACCAAATGAGAGTGTTATCACCATAAAGACCACAGTATAGTTATCACCATGAAGACCAAATGATAGTGTTATCGCTATAAAGACCACAGTATAGTTATCACGATGAAGACCAAATGATAGTGTTATCGCTATAAAGACCACAGTATAGTTATCACCATGAAGACCAAATGATAGTGTTATCGCCATAAAGACAACAGTATAATTATCACCATGAATACCAAATGACAGTGTTATCACCATAAAAACAACAGTATAATTATCACCATGAAGACCAAATGATAGTGTTATCGCCATAAAAAACATAGTATAGTTATCACAATGAAGACCAAATGACAGTGTAATCACTATAAAGACCACAGTATAGTTATCATCATGAAGAACAAATGACAGTGTTATCACCATAAAAACCACAGTATAGTTATCACCATGAAGACCAAATGACAGTGTTATCGACATAAAGACCACAGTATAGTTATCATCATGAAGACCAAATGATAGTGTTATCGCCATAAAGACAACAGTATAATTATCACCATAAAGACCAGATGACAGTGTTATCGCCATAAAGACCACAGTATAGTTATCACCATGAAGACCAAATGATAGTGTTATCGCCATAAAAACAAGAGTATAGTTATCACCATGAAAACCAAATGACAGTGTTATCGCCATAAAGACCACTGTATAGTTATCACCATGAAGACCAAGTGACAGTGTTATCGCCATAAAGACCACAGTATAGTTATCATCATGAAGACCAAATGATAGTGTTATCGCCATAAAGACAACAGTATAATTATCACCATAAAGACCAGATGACAGTGTTATCGCCATAAAAACAACAGTATAGTTATCACCATGAAGACCAAATGATAGTGTTATCGCCATAAAGATCACAGTATAGTTATCACCATGAAGACCAAATGACAGTGTTATCGCCATAAAGACCACTGTATAGTTATCACCATGAAGATCAAATGACAGTGTTATCGCCATAAAGACCACTGTATAGTTATCACCATGAAGATCAAATGACAGTGTTATCGCCATAAAGACCACTGTATA